CCCGTATTTGATAGGTTACATATTGCCTCAAAATCCCCTTCCCCTTGTAAGTTTGCATGGAACCAAAATTAAAAAATTATAACAATATGCTTGAAAAAAATCCATCTTTTTAAAAGACCTTCATCAGTAATTTAATACATGATATAATTTACTACGTTTTAACCATACCAAAAACTACGTAAAGATAATTTGATACTTTTCAACATACCAAAAACTGAGTAAAACGAATCTGTCAGTTTCTAAAAGACAAAACAGCCTAGTATTTTCATTTCGACATGTGTGGCAGGCAATACGCTTTAAGAAGCTCCCATCACAAAATATGAAAAACAAGATCAACAAGGAAGGGCGGCATTCAATAAATTCATCCCCTAATACAGGACCACCGGCAGATAGCAAGGCGCCGAGCAGGACACCAAACAAGACAGGGAACACGGACAATACAATATGTCCGCGTGTATCTAATATATGCAGAAAGGATCAATTCCTTATAAACTTACATGAAAAACAGTATAGGTTTGACAATATTACTTTCATCAATAATATTAGATTTACTAAATAATTATATAAATTGATTGCGGACATTCCTTTTCTTGTTTTATACTATAATACCTGTAATTTTGACCACTGAATTCGGCCAATACATCTTGCTGCATTTCTCCAGGCAGTTTTGGCGCCATACGTCAGCTCTGGCGTGGTCAGTTCATATGTTCCTTTATCCATTATGGACTTTTCAACTTCAGTCCATCTGTTTAAATGCACGGGGGTGTTAAACCTACAATGTTTGATCAAGTTTATGTTTGTTGTCATTGGAAACTTGTAATACTAGTAGACACCAAATGTTTTGATTTGCATGTTTAATTTTCAGCATGAATGAAATACCATTTTCATTTATATATAAAGAATAAGTATGAATAAATGTCATAATCAAAATGCAAGAAATGGGATATATCTTTCTCGAGGGCAATGAAAGTAGGAGTACATAGGTGGAGAAAGGTTGAAGTTACGCAAGAATGAGTTTATTGTTGACAGTTTTTTTAATATATAAATTTATTTTAGTTCGATTGTGCTGGAAGCTATAAGCTTCTTGAAACACACTCAAGAATCCATTCCTGGAACCAACCAGTAAGGCATTGACTTCAAAGAGTCTAGCTCAAGGCAATGACTTGCCCAAGTTGTTGACAGTTGACATCTACCCCAGTCAACTTCTCCCCCCGTTCATTATTTTCTATTACAATAATTTTTGGTTTTGAAACAATAATCTGGACGAGAAAAAATGCAACTAATAAATGTTGAAATATGTGGCAACATTTTATAGCTTTAAAGTTACTTTGACAATAATCATTTATCTTTTAAATAGTAAAAACTTGCCAATAATGTTAAAATACACAAGCATATCTACATAGTTTATTTAAGTAAATTATCTAGAAAATCTGTAAATTTAAATGAGAATTTTTCGTTTATATCGAATGCTGTGAGCAGTTAATTTATAATAAAAAATGACATCCTTTTACATATTCAGATAAAATTTGATTTTACTGCGACAAAAAATCCATAACGTGATATAGAAATTTGTGAAATTTGTCAATCATGTGTATTTAAAAGGGTAGTTTGAATAAATTCTGCATATGCCGGTGCTGGAGTGGGTACATTAGAGTTATCCTATTTTTATTGTCTCTTAATGGACAGACACAATCAAACGACCAAGTCTGCAAGTTTGGATGTTCTTTATTGTTTTTATTGCTTAGGGGAATATGTGAAATTTGCCAATCATGTTTAATTAAAAGCGTTGTTTGAATAAATTCTGCATATGCCAGTGCTGCGGTGGGTACATTAGAGTTATCCTATTTTTTGCTGTTTCTTATGGACAGACACAATCAAACAACCAAGTCTACAAGTTCGGGTGTTCTTTATTGTTTTTATTGCTTTGGAGGAATCATCTTTTTTATAAGTTTTAATTTCCTTATATTTTATCCCATATAAAATGCATTACATATTATTCGATATAAACAACAAACTATTTACTGAAGGACGTTTTCTCTAGTTTCTAGTTCATTGACAAGCGAACATTTTTTTTAAAACTTTGCATGATTAAAGAAAATCACAGAAGAAACAAATTTATGAAAAGAAACATACAATTTGCTATGCTTCAATGAGTAAATCTACTGCAATTTTGCTTTGGAACATGGGCTTAACTGGTAGAAAAGGTCTATCATTGCGCATAAACAAATATATAGAATAAAATAAAATATCAGCAAATTTTTCATGTGAAGAAATAAAGTAATACACTCAAATTTGAGTTTAAATTAAGTTTTTCTTGCCACAGTTGTAAATAATCTGAAACAAGGGAAAAAATCACTTTTAGGGGCAGATAACCCCAGAAAAGCAGGATCGTAACCCCATTAAAAAACATTTTCCCAATTAGGGTTTCCCTTTTTTATCATGAAAAGGTTCTGCCCATTTGTTTTAATTTTCGAATTTTTTTCCTTTTTCCAAAAATTTTGAAGGGAAACCCTTTGGGAAAACCCCCTTTTAAAAAGATGTTGTGTCGGGTATTTTCCATGTGGGCCATGCCCCGTTTTTGATTCCTGTCAGTGATAATGCATATTTAAACAATTAAGCGTGCCTTTTTCTCAACGAGTTTTTTCTCTCTTACGATAACCATGCTCATCTTTATGTAACATAATTTTATAATAAAAATGTATTCAGATTTAGGAATATCTTGCTGAATAATTATGTTTTATTTGAATAAGTGAATGCACAAACCATGTTTGGAAAGCTGCATATCCCATAAATGATCAATTTAATTGGGTCTTTCCTTTAAAAAAAACTACTGTTTTTTTTTTAATTTCTTAAAAAATAATAGATTTTAATGACACTTTGTATTCATACTGTGTTTACCTATATTGTGTAGTGTTTAAAACATAATATATCTTCTGTGTGTTCGGTGTGTGTGTGTGTGTTCAAAGGCTGTTTATTTTACATTAAAAAAGACACTGTGAAGAAATTATCAGTATTTTCAAATGTTAAATATGAGCATAATATATTCTTAAATAAAGGTCCATATAATCATGGTGAGTTCTTTTTCTTCATTTATTTGTATTTAAAAAGGTACGGTCCATACGAAGAAATAATTGAAATGCCTTAAGAGCAGCAGTAAATAACATGTTTCGATATAATTATTATTCTTTATTCATGTACGCCAAACAAATGAACGCTGATAGTTGATATCAAATTAACCTAGGTAAGTGTGCTATGATCACTACATTAATCATTTCACTAATAATATATATCATAGATATAATGATATTTCATTATCTCATGCTATCAGATTACAACAAGCATGACTTCTTGAAATACATTTTGCACTTGTAAGAAAACGAAATGACAAAAAAATATGTATAAAAGGAAGGTGTTGGCTCTATAATGTCATGTTATATAATTAATTGGTCTTTTCTTTATTAATAGATAAGATTAGATTACTCAAGCACTAAATACACCTTGATAAGAAAGAAGTAAGTGCAAAAATAGTAATAATGATATTGCAAGATTATCAGGTTCTTGTCGTGACACCTTTGTTGCGTCACATATTCAAAAGAAGGTTTTTCAAACAACCGCCACCCTGGTATGTAGCTAGGGGATATTTTGTTTAAAATTACACGATGATAACGGTTGGAAATTTAAGGGTTATGGTACATCAAATTAAAAAATAAAATAAAAAGTAAGGCCATTAATGATATCATGGGATTATTCAATAGGTGTTAAATGTAAGTAGGTGTTTTTATCAACCGAACCACAAATAAACAAAAACTATAATGCGAGTAAAACAGTTATTACATGTAAAGGCATGAAAGGTGGAAAATCAGTACATTACACCATAGGAATAAGACATAAAGCATATATTCTCGTTCTTCATTGGCTATACGGTATCGAAGCGAAATCTCTATGAGTCTATATTATACAATAAAATAATTATAATGTATGAAATGAATAATGACAATCTAGTGTTTGAAAATATTTTTTGTCCAATAGAATTGCAGTATTTCAAATGAATCATAACACATTTACTTAAAAAATCGTCTAAATTTAATCAGTCTATTAAATCGACAGTTTTATATATAAAAATAATTTCAAACACTGCTCTATTCTTGACCACTTTAATTTTGCAAACGCTTACTAATAAAAACTAATCTTGATGTACAAATGAACGCAAATGTGTTATTTGCAGATGCACGTAATATCATAGGGACGCAGAGGAGTGGCATTATAGAATGTTTAAATAAAACAAATGTTAAATACGTCACGGGAACGTTGGATAAAATATAAAAAACGTTCAGCTTATTATTTTACCAAATCAAATTCGCAGGCATAATTCTGACACCAATCTCTTTCAACTGTTGCATTTGTAAAAAGAAATCTTACATAATTCATCAAACCATTATTATGGCTTCTTCAAAAATAATAAAGATATGGAATTTCACGTTCAAGAACGCAGGGATTCTTGAAATAGAATAACAGCGGATTAAAAAGGAATGTATCCTTTGATATAAAAATATTCCCAAAAACCGAACTCATGTTTATAAGATTATCAGTTAATCTTCTAACGATAAGAAAGATAATCCATGAAATAGCAACAAAATATTCGCTACCACCTACACCATTGTAAAAAGGTTATTCTATACTTTGTTTTGATGTAAATCCAGATTTAGAGTGCACCAATTTACATTACATACTAACGTCGAGAAATGTGATAGAGAGCGAAGAGTGTTCAGTAATAATACAAAATATATTTTTGTGTGTTAGAGGAGGGGGATAATACCATCAATACAAGGCCTCGTTTGCAGTTTAAAACTAGCATCTTCAATAGTAAGTTATACTAAAGTTAAAAAAAAATATGTACCCATTAGTTGATATGATAGCAAATAGATAGCATAATTTTAAATTAACTACTTATATATTTCAGTTTGATTTCATTATATCCAGTTTTTGTGGAAATGGAATACTTTAAATCCCAAGGGAACTTTACTGTATATTGTATTATAAAATTATACATGATATACATTTATTATGTCCATATGTTTTTCATAATATTACAATAAATTGTAAGGTAAAATAGTGGATGGATCTCCGACCCTATTTTACCTATGATGGGGACAAGAAACGGAGTTACGTCTTGGGCGTCAAAAATACAGATTACATGTATATGAGAAAATGAATATTACACGTTTCTTATCTACCATTAAAATCACAAATTCAATATTTTAAGGCTCAGTCCGTTTACTAGTTCATTTAAATTTAAATGTCGTCGTGTTAAATGTTTATCAATTAAAAAGAAAGAAGAATTGTTGAAAATAACTAGTTTTCGTTTCTTAAAAAAAGATGTTACCGAAATATACTCTTGTATCGTACTTAATTCTCACAGGTTTTGTTTTTGTTTGTTTGTATCATTTTACGCCTTTTTCCAACAGTATTTCAGTCATATAGGCGGGTAGTTTCCTAACCATCGTTCCTGGAGAGTTACACCAGTACTAGACTACCTTCCTCCGCGCTAAACTACCAAAGCATCTCCCGTGGATCGAACCCGCGCCAGAGAGTTAACTGGATTTGAAGCCATCGACTCTAACCCCTCGACCACGGAGGCGGTCAATTCTCACAGGTAAAAGGCATGACATTTTTGTTTCGCTCTTGGAATATATCTAAATCGGGCCCAAAAGTTGTCTATTTTTTACTTTACGAAGTTAAAACTTTGTTATGGCAAACATTAAAAAAGTCAAAATTAGCAATATAAATACAGTTGGTGACATCCGTGACCGACTGTTTAAGGTACTTAACGACTTATTCCGCCAAGAATTTTGAATTTTTCTCTTGTCAGGAGGGTATCCAATAAGCTTACGGAGTGGATCTACTTAGGTGTCTAAAGATGAACGTAAGGTAGCCCGGAGTATTTTTATGTAAAGTAGCCATATGACGAAAACAGTGTCAGTATGAGGATTAAACCTTTCCCCATCCACCAATATATATATATATTAAATCAATGAAAAACCGAAAAGCAAAATAAGCATGATCCTACCTTTTAATTGATTGATAATACTGATTGATGAAATCTTTGGCGTGAACTAAGACTTCTTGTGCGGATCTTGATTCGGCTCCAACCAGGCCAACATCCATAACAGAACCCAAACAAAATCTTGCATTGCACGGCATTGGCTGAAAACAGTTCGTACATGTAGTTCACGATTACATTTATTTTTTAAATTTTGTAACAACATTATGGTTGCGTTCGTAAAAAATCTTAGACAGTATGATATTGTTCTACAGTTCAATTATATTGAGATTAAAGAAACATTTGGTGTTTTTGAGGATGTATTTCTTTTGGGTAGAGGGCAACACTAACAAACCATTAATGTAGTTCTTGTCTGGATATTTTTAGGTACATTTGGACTGAACTATAAAAATCATGATAAAACAGTATATTAATAAAGTATCTGTCATACACGAAATAAAAAAAACAAATTAACTGCATTTCATTGAGTTGTGGTAAAATATATGTAAGTGATATAAAAAGGTTGGTAAATGTGAACGCAAGTAAGGGGATGATATTGCACTAGCGGATGTAAATTTACATGAGTTGGGGTAACTATATGCAAATTATGCTAGAAATTAACCCGGTTCCAGTTACTTTAAAATAGTAACTGCTGTACCATGTTTAATACAACATTTACATTTTTCAAAAAAAAAATTGATAAAAAATGAATAACATTTAATAATGTTCTTTGGAGGAAAACATCCATAGTTGTATTTAAGCTGTACAATGAAATATTATTATTTTACCTTATTTTTTACCAAACAAATAAACAAACAAACTAACAAACTAACAAAAACGCAAACTAACTTTCATTAATTTGTCCCAGTACATAATTTCAACTTCTAAATAGCTTATCTACATTCTTGGAAAGTTTTATTATCACTGAAGGCACGTTATTGAATTAGATGCCTGGAAACGAGTTTACTAACAAACCAAAAGAGGAATGCGTTAAGAATTTTTAGAATCTTTGTATTGTTTTTAATGGATTTCATCAACTTAAAACTTGTTTTTGTTAAGATTTCGTCTTAACCTGGTATTCATTAGGAGTACGCGAATAGAAGATGTTTTGACAAGTTTAAAATCGGTCTCAATCGTGATATTCGGAGGGATGTTATGAAGTGCAGCGAGTTCAATAGCTAGATAGTCGTGCTTTTCCACGTTGAAATGATAAACTTCACCTAAACAATAATGTAGACAATCACCTGTATGATAAAAACTGTCTGGGAAGGGCTTAATCTAATGTTGCAAGGACTTGTTGCCCCTACCTATTTGCTTTTTGTTATATACTTATCATTTGTATAATATTTTTGTTATCATTTGTATGATATTCTTGTTATATACTTATCATTTGTATAATATTTTACATGTATTTGATGCAATAAAATGTTTAAACTAAACAAAAACTATCCCTGTAATCTTATTATATTGTGACACAAATAACCTAACTAAATAAATTCAAATGTTAAAATTGCATACATTTAACAACAATTTTGTTTTTTATGGCTTTAAAGATTCACACATGACTATGTATTAACTATAAACTTGAATGATTTAATGCGTGAAATGCTAAAAAAATATCGTAAAATTTTACAAAATAGATCAAAATTTAGTTTCAATCGGCAAACATGATATTTATATAATTATGTAAAGGATTATTTTTAAAGTGGCGAAAGTAATTGATCCGAATCTTGTTCTAAAACCTTCGACTGCATTTCTTGCTTCAAAAAATCTAATTTCTAAACAACTTTAACAGTCTTTTGAAAGCGTAAAAAAACGCATCTTTAGATTAAAACAATGGCGTAAGTTTATTGTTATTTCTATATCGGTGTCTGCTTAATTTTACAAATACTTGTACTAACAGTGTTTAAATGTATTTAAAGTAACGTTGGCATTTAAAACTTGAACCCTTTTACAAACATAGAATAAATAAAATGTATCAAAATAGCGAACCTTGTTCGTTATAAGATTTTTAAATGTAAGGGTAATTATGGCAGTGAAAATTTTACACATACTAAAGATTGATTCTCATTTTTTAAACTTTTAGCATTCATTTATTATTCTAAAATTCAAATTTCTCATTTGCGACATATGTATCAGTATTGGTCATTTTATACAAAACAAAACAAAGATACTGTTAAAATGAAAAAAAAATCATTGTAAAAAAACCACAATAAAATAAGAGACCACATCACTTGTACTGACAAATTGATCAAATGCAATGTTTAGACAAATCTTTGAAGCCTTTAACAGGGCAAAATTAACTTTCCTGGTAAGATGCAATTATATTAACATTGGTGAATTTGTAATAAAAATTGTTCCCCTTTATGCTGCAACCGCAAATTAAATTTTAAATGATCTTACCTCAATTGCCTTTTGGTGTAGCGTATCTGTACAGACAGGCCTTTCTTCCCCAACATGTCGAAGTTTTACAAATTTCTTAGCAGGGGAACCTTTTGTGGAAACGTTACCCAATTTATCAACTTTTCCGTCATGATGCGCCTTTGATATGAAGACATTTTCATCGCTTGATGATTGAATGATATTTATACTATTTTCATTGGATACTTTGTTTCCAGGTTTATTCACTTGCTCTATTTGACCATTCTCTGCGACATTCTCGCCGTTTTCTTTCTTGACCATTGAATGCTTATTTTCAGAAGTATCCTTTGTGATAAGTTTTGTCACACTGTTGTTTTTAGTGTCATTTCCATTACAATACAGTTTATCATCATTGGAAACGGTAGCATTTTCTTCTGTATTTTTATTTCCTCCCGATTTCAAAGGCTTTATATCTAACATTAACATTTTATTATTGCATTTCTTCTGTTGTTCCTTATTCATAATATCCATATTATTCACTGTGAAATCAGAACCGTTTATCGAAGCTGATTTACCTGTGTTACATTGTGGATCTTCATTCTCCTTTTGTAAATCTGTCGATACAATTTTATGCGAATTATTATTTGATACGGTGTCGTTAATATGCGAGACCGTATCTACACTAATAGCATCCTTGTTAGATTCGGAGGATTTTGTTGAACGGATTAAGTTTGTATTTGAATTGTTTGGTTCATTAGATGTAGAATGTGTTGTCGTACTACCCTTCGACCCCTGTGATAATTGAGATTTGTCGAGACACTGATTTTCGCTATGAAGGTCTCCATTTCGCCGGAGGAATTGTGCTTCATCGCCTTGCAGCGTTTTATGACACTCACAGTTCGCCTGGGTCTGTTTTGTTCTGCAAGAGCGGCCTGAGGCGCCTGCAGAAAACGTTTTCCTTATCCTGCCAATGAAGCTCTCTGAATGCAATATTGGTTTTGTAATTCTCACGGTTTTTGGTGTTCCATCTTGGTTAAAGCGTGTTTCTAAATGTGTAGTGTAGCCTTCCGGCCCCTTTAAAATCAAAACAACTACAACGCCAACTGGAAGTGATTTTAACACTTCGACCGATTTTTCATAACTAAGATCATCAAAGCTGACGTCATTGACTTTAAGTATGACGTCACCTATCTGAACAAGCCCACTTTCAGCAGCAGTACCATTCGATACGAGTTCAGACACCACTACATGCGGTCCTTTAGACCTTTTGCGGACTAGAAAACCAAGGCCATATTTCTTCTGTTTCAGGAGTTTCACCCGAATTATGTTCGAACATTTTGATTTGTCGCCAACACTTTCCATCTTATCAATGATTTTGGCTATTGATCTTTGAATTGCAATCGTAGATTTTTAACCGCTGTTTAATCATCGATATTGAAATTTGTCACATGTGTGTGTATAGAGTTTTTAAAACGTCTGGAATATCTGAAATGTAAAAGTATTTAAATAGCGTTTTAGTACAAAATTTCAGACTGAGCATAAAAAGGATTATTGCCTGACTTAACCTTTACCATAACGGCAAAATTGTCGTCTGCTAAATTGTAATTTGCTCCTTGTTGGAATGTAACAAAATGCCATGTAATGCTACATCTCGTGGAGTTACAAGCTATTTGCAAAAGCTATTGCATTCGCTTTCAGGCGTTTTGCAGTCCTTTTTACGCCAAATTTTTAACACAGAGTTGGCCATATTTAGGCAGTCGATCAACCTAATGCTATCAGGCTCTCCAGGATGTCTAACCAGTTATAACCAATTTCTACACAAGAGACCGACTACATATTCCCACGTGAGTATTGCATCAGCAGTTACAGTAGATCTAAGAGACAAATGACCATTAGATGCAGTATCCGAGATCAATTGTCCCGGGAAAATTACACCTCGACCGAGGATCGAACCATCAGGGACCGCTTACTTATCCGATGGTGCCCCTTTTAAGCTAAACGGAACTAACGGTTAAATATTTTATACCTAGTTGGTTAACAGTATTTATAGTAAAAATAAAGCATCGATTTATCTACATTTGTATTTTAAATCAAAGCAATAAATATGCACAGTTACATGTTTAATATTAATTTCAATATTTGAAAAAGCATCGTATTTAGAAAACACAGCACAACACACCAAGTCATTAATCTTCGATTCTTTAAAAAGAGACAGCTTGATTTATTAGTTATGTAATTGAATTGAATGGAATGCAATGTATAGTTAACATTTATAAAGATACACTGTATTCGATATGCGAAGAACATAACTTTTTTATCACTGTAGCGAAGTCGTTATAAATGCATAACAATTATATATGTATGAATATTATTCAAAAATAAAACTGCTCAAATTTCAGGATTGACTGCGATAACAGGTGTTGATATGTGTTGAAATAACGTAAAATAGTGTTACGTCTATTTTTGATACTTAACGCAGACAAAAATAATTTATGAACAATTTCGTTATGAAAGAAATCATCCGAAACAAATAACTTTCTCAAGTAAATTGATATACTGTACAACTGCAGTTTGTAGTAATTTTGTAACTAGTAATTTTGGCACACTTTTAATGTCACTTAATATTTTGATTTGACGGCGATTACAATAGTTTTGTATAACATTTCACCATGACTTTATAATACGATTAAATCGTCTGCTATCTTTATCTAAATATAATCTTAACAAACTATAATCGTCTGCTAAATATTTGTTGGAGTTCATTCATAATTGTGCTTTTTATACGTTTTAAGGTGTTTTTGTTTGTGGATCTAGATGTTTGGATAAAGCACCATTTTTTGGACAGTACTGCAACACGCAAACGAAAATGTAAAAACAATTGTTAAATAGAAACGTGACATCTTTACAATTTGTGTATTTATATTGCAGTGATAATGTACTATGTACAAATCCAAAATAAAATTAGGTTCTGTTCTGTAAAAAATTAATAAAAATAAAAACAAAGCAAAACAAAAAACAAACAAGTCAATCAATCAATCAATCAATCAATCAATCAATCAAAACAGACAAAAAACCCATCACAGTATACATATTGCATATCATATATTTAACTGAATTTTGAACAATGCCGATTTTTCCCTTAAGATAAGACAGGGTCTTAATATTTGAAAGATCCTGCGTACGATAATGCTTTATAGACACGGTGCCACATCACATTTGTTTGCAGCCGTCTGTTGCGTACGAATCTACGTCATTCTTATTTATGTACACGTATATAACCTGGATCTATCAACAAATAAAATCAGTATCTACATATGGGTATGTTCATATGTTTGTTACTCTTTTTATGCTTTTAAACTATGAATTGCCAACAGCACAGTTAGGTATGGTACATCTATACATATATATATATTATATTACTGTAAAGTAAATAACTGACAGTCGCTATGTTACATGAATGTACCATTTTTGTCATGGCGATGAACTCAATTTGTTGAACAAACTTTTGTTCTGTTATACAGAGTATGTGTCTAAATATATAAACTTTTTTTCTTTTCTTTTCACATTTTCATTAACATTTGGAACTTTGATATGAATTAACTGGAGTGTATCCAATTAATCGGACCTAGGATTACGAAAATAAACTATTATATAATAAGATCTACAATGAAATTTTACTTGTTTTAATAGATTAAATGTTACTTTGAAAACAACACTTTTTCCTGTAGACCATTTTTGTTATTATTATTATATAGGGTTAACGCACGTTTTTTCGTGTTATAATGTCTGCAGAGTCCCGAGGAACGGTTGGTGCCCGAGCGCGGTAGGGCGAGGGCTCCACCAGTTCCGAGGGACTCTGTAGACATATATTGCATAGTTTTTTTCTGGTTAAATATAACTTCATGAGTCTTAAGCATCTTATTCGATCGCATCAAATACGTAAATAAGCTATAAATTTCAGTAAAACGTGCACTAAAAAGTGTTTAATCTTGATTTTTGTAACATGCCACAAAAAAACAGCGTTGTTTGAACTTATTACTATAATTAACTTTGCATTAATAGATCTTCTGGAGAAAAAAAAAATCCTTTAATCTTTAGATAAGATAAAGTTGAATTACTTACACTCTCCGTCCATTGTGTTTATCCATTCTTTCGCAAAAAAATATAATATTATGAAAATATAGTTTACTAGTAAATATGAAATCTCACAAAGTCAAGACACTTCGAAAGTAATCATTCCATTAAAGCACTATTTTGACAACTTAATAGCTTCGATTTCAAACGTGTGAATGAATTCTATTTCAAATATATCAACATTATGGTTATAAACACGTTGTTTAACCCTTTACAGCAGATAAAATCAATATCGGATAATTTCTAACTTAATTTTTAAATTAAAATTCAAGTTTGATGTTAAGTGATATATAACGTGAATGAACAAAATTGGTTAATTGGAATGTAATGTCAAACTTATTAAGAAGGTGAAGCATTATTGAAAGTAGTGGAATATCATACACTTCAACAAATATACAAAATCCAAAATGTCATTTTAAGTAACTTGAAACTTGTGTATTATTTAATTCTCCTTTTCCAATTATTGTTATTATTTCATATTTTTATTCATTTAAAAAAGAAAACAAACAAAAACAACAACAACAACATAAAACGAAATCAACTTTGAGAAAATACTTATTTTTGCATGTTTAAAGCCTGTTGGAATGAAATGAAATGTCTACTAAGTCTACAATAAAATGTCAACTTATGCATTATTTATCAAAATATTACATATCAAATGATGTATTATAAATAATTGTGCATTATTTATAGTGATAATTATTCTAAAACATGCTACTTGGAATTATTATAATACTTATTTATGATTGTTGTTATTTTGATGGTTTTGTCATTGAGAACAACAGAAGCAATGGTAAATTTAATGTAGAAGAGCCATTGACACTCAAAAACACAATGTATAAACACCTAAAAGAAAGGTAAAAAGAAAGGTACAAGTATAAATATATTGGCTCCCAAGATAAGTAAAGTGATACTAAGCAACATGTGCTTGTAATCGCAAGATAGGGTACATGTTCAAATGTTTAAACTTGTAAAACTGGGCGAAGTGATTTCCCTAATCTACTAAGCAAATGCGGTACTAACGCTTGGTGAAAATCATCTAAAATAAGTGGCAAGATAATTGCCATTCAAGAAAGTAAAAACATGTTTCAAGATACATGATTTATAGAGGAATATAAAATAACAACATAATTTCGACAATCTCAAAAGATAAAATCTATATTTTCCTACCTTATTTCCGACTGAGAAGATATTAAATTGTATTCGTTATATTAGAAAAAAGTTTATATTCGAGTGTAAAGTAATGTTTAATCTAAAATACGCGTCGGTTACTCACACAAAAACAATATTAAAGATAATATTGAATAGTTTTTCGTTTAAGAAAAATCAAACAATGAACTTTAAACATTCAGAAGCGTTGTTATGCCGTGATGTTAGTGATGTAATATCACTATCTTATTTGAATTTTGTTCTTGTAAAGTATATATACCTTTAACACGAGTTCGCCATAAGTCAGGCTTGGGTTCGGCTCAAAGATATCCGATATATTATAATAGTAGGTTGTGTAGAGGGTGGGGTACTATTTATTTATTTAAGGTTGATACCCTTTATCGAAAGGTATTAATTAACATTTTACTGTACAATTGGATCTATTTTTGTAAATGGATAAAACTTTACTCTACAAATCATGATTTTACTTATAACTTTGACAGGCACACGCCTGTTGTCTTCTGTAATCGATTATACAGAACAGATGAAAATAAATATACTTTAGCTTTCACTGGCGGCGTGATTTCTTCTTTTCTTCTTTTCTGTCATAACAGTTTGAATAGTTGATTTGTCATTTTTGTCGACACGAATTAATCCGTCACCCCTTAAGTGTCACCCTGGTACGGAAACAGAAAATAGTTCTTTATTAATTTAAAAGTCATCCTTAATTTGATTGGTCATATCTTAAGTGAAATTTAATATGTCGTCTGCGTAGTTTTTGTGTGCTATATAATGACTTTGACTAGTATTAAGATATGCAAATAAAAAGGCGCAATTTGCACCCAACAGATAGAAGATTATACATGTATTAGAAAAGATGTAAAATGTGATATATTGTCTGTATAAAAAAACTCCTACTTTTTGTATAATAACTGCAGAGGTCATTCTTAAGATTTTCAAGTATGTTTTAATTTGTAAAAATGTCTATAAAAGTATTAATAAAATTTCATAAATTTTATATCAACAAGTACGAAAATTCAACTGTCAACGAGCACCATTAAACTGGCTTCATCGTAATTTTTCGTTAATTAATTAATTAATTAATTAATTCACTTAACTTTTTTAATTCAAACTAATATAAATAAGTAAATCTTCTTGGTTTTGTTTGAGAAAGGTTAAATTATTGTGAGGAAAGATAAAAGTAATTGAGTAAATTAGTAATTGTTCTTTAACCGTTTCATGTTATCTAAACTTATGAATGAGAGAGAGAGTTCGAGGTAGGAGGCAAGGTACAATCACTTTCAGTTAAATGTAAACTTTGTTTTTCTTTATTCCTCAAAGAGTTAGTAGAATTAGAAGAGTTAGCGGAATGATCTTTGTCGAGCGAACAAAGCAAAAATAAATAACAAGTAGTGAAGAAAATAAACCAAGAGAACATTCTATCAGTCAAGATCATTTTTGAGACAAGTGAAATTAATTTTAAATTTTCAAAACTCTATTTAATACATTAGTTTATACAAATTTATCAAATCGTACAGTACCAACCACAAGTTGGAATGTATATGAATGATATATTTGAAATAGCCTAATTTAAAGATCATTGTTGACAGATAAATTGCTTTTTATTATTCGATGACAGGCACTGTGGCCTTCTTCGATAGATAATATGGTTTTTGACATACTTTCTGAGATTCGGGAGTCACATTCTTTAAACTTTGACATTAATGAAAAATATATCAAAATGTAAATTTGTTAATAACGCCAAAATCATTAACATATCAAAGAAGATTGATAGATATGTGAGAGTAACTAATGATTAACTAATTCTCACAGATGATAGCAATAACAAATAAATGATTTATGTCAAAATGACATTTTAATAACACTTATAACAGTTCGTTCTACAAGGTTATCTATCCTCTTCGGAATAAATTTGAATCGGAATACAACGCTCATTGCTTATTTATTATAATTATCACAATGCAATTGTTAAATGACGTGTGTGACGTCATCATTGACGTGTACGTGAATCATAAACACGTTTACAGATGATTTACATATCCGTCCCCTATCTGTTGAGTTAAACTATTGTCTGTTTGAAAGGTAGTGCAAATTAGTGTATATCTATTTCATTATAAAGTCATCAATAACACTTTTGAAGAATGGCAAATATTTCTATAATAGAAATAATCATATAGGGTGGTTATTTGAATTTCTTTGATCTATTTTAAATGAAACATAAATTAAAAAGGTACAATACTGAAGTGCAAACATTTTAAACTAAGATGACATTAATTGATGTGGAATGAAAATGTTAGAAACTTTACCTTGTAAATGAATTCAAATAAATGTCTACACTGAAGATATCAACATTGGGTTCATTTCTCAGCCTTTATATTCAGTAATTTGGAAAGGAGAGTGAGTGCATATATTGCAGCCTTTCTTATCAACGGATTTATTTATGTCATATAACTTTTTCTTCTATTGCAATTGCGCGTTTGCAGACAGACGTCATTGAATGACCTCGTGACCTTTTATATTTGTTATCCAAATACGTTAAAAACAATTCATATGTACATAATTAAACAACTAACAAAATAGAGAAAAACTGAAACCTTAAAGAAAACCAACACGACAACATTGAAATTGCTGCAGGCTCGGTTTAATTGAGCCTGTTCATGGACGGTAGTGGTAATACCAAGATACCGTCGACGCCCCCTAGCACCGGCTTAAGCAGAATTCAACATTTAACATGACCTGATGAAATTGTTAATTTTGAAACAAACTCAGATGTGTCCATATGGTGGTTATCATGGAACCTTCAATGTGACACATCAGTGCCATTCTATGAAAAGCGGCATATGGTCTCCAGACTGGGCAATTTATAAATGATAAGCTTGGATATACCTTTGTGACCACCTTTCCCTATAACTTAGCTTCTTTCTTTTGCTATGGTCACCTTGTATATGTCTACACCACATTTCTTGACAGGTATGTCATGACGAACGCTGCTTATTCAAAGAGCCCCTTTGTTTAATCATTGTTCTGCTGAATTTCATGAAATGAAATTGTTCAGTTTTCAATTTTTGAAAAAAGTCCGTTATCAATTCTTTTGATATCATGATAAAAATCAAAGTTGTTCGGCAAGCAGTAAAGAAACCGACCAGATTGCCCGGATGTATAGACTGGTGCAAATGGCGTCCAGCAGAGTGATGGTTACACATCCGGTGATTGATACGATAAAAAAGACATAAACGAACCGAACATAGTACTTTTTATAATCATTTTCACACTGAGTAGAATTGTACAACATTTTTTTGTCTGCGCAATGTTTCAAGCACTAAAAATTCAAAATAATCATAATCGTTTTACATAAAAACGAACTTAAGTATCAATTCTCTATTAAAATTAAAGAAACTATGTTTAAACAGGTACGTATATTAACGGTATCCGCAACTCTATACAGTAAATCAATAACGGTAAATTATGCTGTCGTGGTAGATAATCCATCCAGACTGCCGATCGTTATTGATTTTTATCGACGATTACATATCATTAAGCGGTGTGATATTTGACCTTGGTTATTTAAATTACCGTCAACATGTTATTTTCTGTTCAATTTTTTAAAAGTAACATATTCTAGAAAGCTGAAAGATAGATTTTTTCAAATATATATTTTATAAATCAGAGCGTTTAGTATGAAGAAAATTACGACGAGTTAAACACAGAGTTTGTTTTTTTTTGTCTCCCGATTATGTCAAAACTTCAGTAAAAATAATGATGCCCTCTTCGAACAAATATAAGATTTTTTCGTAATTTATGGTCCGAATTTAGCAAAATACCTATCAAAAGAAAGCTGAGAATTTGATCTTTTTAACCGTGTAATTATCATTTACAAAGCTAAATTATTTCCGGAATTGTAACGAGTAAAAAACGCAACTTTTACTACCAGCCAAATCGCGACTGCACACGAAAGAAATTTTATATACATGTAGTAACAAGTTATTATTGTTTCGTCATTTTTTTGCCGAAATTTGTGAAAAATTATTTATAAAAAGCTTATAAACTGTAGTTTTAATTTTTTTGTTTTTCAATTTCTATTGCGTATCTTAAATAAATGCGAATAAGATATCGTGAAGAATCACATGACCAAAATCATCTTGCATATTTCGAACGCAACTTTTACCATATATTTAACTTATTAAGCCCTTTATATTTTTTTATTTGAACATTGTTTAAAGAATGAAGTTATCTATCTATCTATTTTTAAAATTGAATAAAAGTATGATTATATAATTTTCAAACTGCACCAGAAAAGAGCTCTTATAAAAATGTTCGTTTTCTCAGGTACGTATATTTTTCTGAAAAACGGCCTAAACATTTTTTGTTATGAAAGTATTGTGAAAAATAAGTACATTGTACCGTCATAATTGATGTTTTCTGCAGATTCAGTAATTGATTTAATCACGGTTATTAATGTGCATCTATTTAATTGTTCAATTGTGATAGTTTTCACACTTTTTCTATCAGTCGGTCCTGTTTGAAACTGTTTTTTAGTGGGTAAGGCTAGATTATTACTATATCCAGTTAATTGTTTTTATTTATTTAACATATTTTCTGTGTTGCTTTTATACAATTATATTGAGCAAACTGTTTCACCACTACATATGTCAGTATCTTTCAGGTTCTCTTGAATGAACGTACATTTTTTCGAGAGAATAGACATAAAGGTATTGGAAATAGTAGTATCAGGTACCTGGTAGTAAAAAAAAAGAAATAAAAAGGAAAACACATTTATATAAGTTTTGCCTTTTATTTTATAACTGGATTTACATAAAACTTCAATAGCATCGCACTGGCTATAAAATGACTGTTTATAGTGTTTTCATTTAGTGTCACTTTATTCCCGAAATTTATTTGACACTTCTGGGACTCTCCTGGCACAAGCTGCAAATCTTTGAACTTTTGGGCTGTATCAGCATTCAGTGAAATTGTCGTGCTGATCTACCACTTGAAACCCTTGAAGCACATTTGTTACGATCTGAAATAGATGAAATGACATTTAATATAAATATTTTGTTTTATCAACAGAATAACCATGTACTAATGTTAATATACGTACCTGGAATAACTAACAAAAAAGAAGTTGAATATAACTTCTGAGTAAATGAAAAAAAATGGGGGAAATTTCATCAATTTTCAAAAGACCATAGCATCAAAAATATTCAGTTGAAAATTATAAATAATACCACACCCCATTCACAATAATGTAGTAACTAACTTTAAAGCTTTCATTTGTATTTTCAAGGTCTTTAGATACCTCTGATGTTTGGGCCAAAATAGGTCGTGAATTTATTTTTGCACCGCAAAAATTTACAAATTTCCTTCAAATTTCACGCCACAAAAACAACAGATCAGATGATGAGGGAGCCTTAAAAGTACCAACATTACTTACTTTAATATATTCTAAACCGATTTGTGCAAGTTTAATCAGTTTTCTACAAGTAGGTTAAGCCTGATAACTCTGCAGATTTTATACATGTTCACCCGTTTTTAACAAAGATCCGCCATTTTGTCGATCTCATTCATACAGACTGGAAATTTCCACACCCGATTTACGCCATTTGGAAGCGTAATCTAGTAAAAATACACGTACATAACAAAAACATAAGACTTACCTGTCATTATTTCTTGAGTTTTTTGTGCCGATGCTCGTAAATTAACACTTAATTTACAGATTTTTCATCAACAAGATTTGTTCCGTCCGTCATCGATTAAATTTTTTGGTAGCATGTGCGCATGCGCACGACCGACACGACAGCAATCTCGGTCTAAAACCTTGTTGCGGATACCGTTAATATACGTACCTGGTTTAAATCATAATCATTCTATGTTTACAATTGAAGGAGGAAAATTGGGTAAAAGTTCGTTAAACTGAAAATAGCATTTAATAATATGTTGTTAGTTTAAACATATTTATTTCAATATTTTACACAATTATATTACATTTTATATGTATATAATGATATGTTGTTATTTATAAATTTTGCTTTGATCAAAGCTATAACGATAATCATGATTTATTGACCGTTGATACATTTAAACTTGATGAAGCGAAATACCGATTGCGTGAGATAAAATTTATTGTAACTTATACTTTCACAAAAATAATTATTCTTTTTATACACTTGATTGACTTTTATTATTACCCATATTTTGCTTCATTCATCATTTATTTTTGTACATTATATTGCAACTCAAGATACACTTCGTCATTTAAGATCCATTAGCCGAATTACTAGTGAACTATGTTTTGATTTACTCCACCTAAACGTATCCATGCATCAAACACGAGATAATGTTTAATGTTAAAATTGGTTTGTTCAGATGTGCATCTTATTACCTTGCTGATAACATATAATCCACATAAAATTAATGCATTCTAAAATTCATATGATGTACAAGTCAAAGTAAAATACTAATTTGTTCAAATACATGTATTCACACATGCGTTTAATAGACCTGTATCTAATATATCAAATTGAACCCTTCAAATTGAACCCTTAAGGAGAACCCGGATACGAAAAAATATTAAACGTTTAGGCTTGACTTACTTGAGCCTATAAAATTGACGGAAGTGGTAAACGCAAGCTACCCCCTCCCCCGCACCGGGTTAAGCAATTTTTAACGTTCAAATATGAAAATGTGTTAAATTTTAGAATTTTCAAACATCAGCAAATGGGTTCATACGGCGATATCGTGAAACCTTCGATTTGATGTCATTGTAAAACCTTCGATTTGATGTCATTCCATAACAAGTGCCGTTAAGTCTATCTTATGTAGGACAGATCTTACTTTATATAACATACTTCAATTTAATGTCACTTTAAACTACATTATTTATAAACAAATAATTATAAATTATATGAGAAATGAAGAAACGGTAGTATTATTTTTCCTCCCCTTAGATAAACAAGAAAATGAATAATAAAAAAAGGACATCACCTTTTGCAGCATATGCATTGGATTCAGTACAAAGACGTATAAATCTATACACCATATCTTAATATTTAAACCAGTAAAATAAATATCTGTTCAGGAATATTTAGCATAGTTTACTGATAACAGCCAAATTCCCAATACAAAAATAAGGTACAAAACATTACATTTGGTTTTCGTCTGTATCTATAATTTAATGCTTTCATAACATGGTTTATTAACAAATAACATTTCTTAAAATCACAATCATGTAAGTTAAAGGGTATAAAACTATATATCATGAAATATATTTATTATAAAATATATAGCCGTAAAATTATGCTATTACAAAAATCATATGGTAGATGCTCGAAAGAGTTGCACCATAGAATGTCTCTTTTATTTGAACACATACAAAGTGTACGTTAACTATGGAAGCACTGGAGGGCCCTTTTGACTTCTGACTTAATGACTTTTGACTATTGACTTGGGAGTTATGACTTGTGATTTCTAAGTTGTGACTTATAATTTGTGATGATGCATTGCCGCTCATTTTAAGCCAGGAGATGCATGGCGGACAGCGATTTGTCAGATGATGTAAGTTTTTATAGTTTACTTGAATATTCTTCTTAAATAATGTAATTTAGCGATGTTTTACATATTCATCACTGATCGAGCAAATCAATTTGAACGGTCTGTGTTGAGATCTAGATGCGTTTACCATAAGAAATTAACACTCGAAAAGTGACTCCTTTCAAGCCTCACGGGGGAACCGAGTCTAACTTCCATCAATCAAACAATCTATACTTAATGAAACTTATAAGTACTAAGATGTAAACGTGCAGATAAGCTCGAGTTTTCAAAATATATGCCAAATCAGTTATTGGCTTCTTGTTAAGATTGAATTATTACAAAATGCATTTACTGATATAAAATGATGATACTATGATAAGTGTTTATACAAGAATCTTTGTAAATATTCTATACAAGTATATATATACATAATTATTCTGACCACTATATATACATGTACATAGAAAAGGTTGTCGGAATGATCGATTTCGTTTAGTGTATAAATACCATTCACAAAACTAAACAAGATTGCATTTGAGAAAAATGCTATGCCACCGCATTAATACAACACTAAGCCTTGTACCTTCAGACAATAAGATTTTTTGATTTTTTTACTATATAGATATATATATATATATATATATATATATATATATATATATATATATATATATATATATATATATATATATATTGAAAATCAATGACCCCTGGGGCAAAGGCAATTTTGACCCCAGGGCTATAATTTAAACAATCTTGCTAGAAGTTCACTACATAATGTTTCATGCAAAATATCTAACCTCTAGCATTTGTCAATTACTAGAAGAATTTTTTAAAAGTTTTTACTACATGTATAAGTTTTTACTATATACATATAAGGAAAACCAATGACCCCTGGGGCGGGGCCGATTCTGATCCCAGGGCTATAATTTGAATAATCTGGGTAGAGGTCTACCAGACAATGCCTTATGCAAAATATCTAAGCTCTAGGCCTTTTGGGTCTTTACAAGAAGGTATTTTAAGTTTTTGCTATATGTACATATAGTGAAAATCAATGACCCCCGGGGCGGGGCCGATTTTGACCCCAGGTCTATAATTTGAACAATCTTGGTAAGGGTCTACCAGACAATGCCTTATGCAAAATATCTAAGCTCTAGGCCTTTTGGGTCTTTACAAGAAGGTATTTTAAGGTTTTGCTATATGTACATATAGTGAAAATCAATGACCCCCGGGGCGGGACCGATTTTGACCCCAGGGCTATAATTTGAACAATCTTGGTAGAGGTCTACCAGACAATGCCTTATGCAAAATATCTAAGCTCTAGGCCTTTTGGGTCTTTACAAGAAGATTTTTTAAATTTATTCTTATAATTCCTTTTGGTTGCCATGGCAACCAGATTTCTGCATGGAATGAAATTCGTTGAACAACTTTGGAAGCCCTTCACCCAAGGATCAATCCTGCCAAGTTTGGTTGAAATTGGACTAGTTGTTTTTCACAAGAAGATGTTTTAAGTTCACTATATAATCTATATAACACACACACACACACAAACAAACACACAGGTGAATCGCTATATGCCACCGCATCGCAGATGCTGCGGTGGCATAAAAACAAAGAAACACTCTTCTTTAAATGACTGATTATGCATAAAATACAAACACACCAATTTTATTCATCAGTCCTTTCCATGTATATGAGAATTAGATTTATCAATGGATTCGGGTTGGTCAAACACATTCGACGTTCCCATATTTATAGTTTACTGTATATTACGGGAACAAAATGCCTCCTCAGATGAAAGCCAGAACTAGACCCAGAAGGCCATAAGTGGCTCAAAAACACTTTGGTTCAGCTAGCTAGTTGATCAGGTAGACCTTGTCAGAAATCAAAATAAAAAAAAAAAACTTTGCTATCAGTAATACTGTACAGAATACCGTTAGGGCCATCATGGTTGAACGTTATAATCCAGAGGGCAACAATGTGATAGTGCGAGAGTACAGTGACGATAGTACGATAATGACAACGCGACAATGCAATGGTGACAATGCGATGACGACAGTACGACAATGCGACAGTGCGATAATGACAATAATGTGAAAGTCTATAACATTGTCGTCCTCGTGTTATTGCGTTGTCGTCATCGTACTATCACCATCGTGTTGTCGCACTATCACATTGTCGCCCTCTGGAATATAACGTACAACCACGATGACCCTAACGGTATTCCGTAATACTGTATGTGCTTTGCGCTTCATAGATTCGTTTAATTTAAGCTGACTTGAAAGAAGAATTAACTTTGATAAAGTTAGTCCTTTTAAACTAAAGTGATTAAGTTTTTAATTGTGCTTAGGCCAAATAAAAAAATATGTTGGTTTGTAGTGACCGCTACCTTCCCATCTTCAATTCTTTATGGTCATCGACTTGATTTTGTTTTATTTTCCGATATTTATCCTGTTCTTCCATAATTACCTCCCCTTAATGAGAATATGCCATTTGTAATAAAGATAAGTAACGGAATATATTTGCTATGTTTTATTAAAACAACTAAACCATGTGCAATCTGATTATCCCATGACAGTATACTTTGTGTCGTTTATGGTTAGTATTAGAAAATTGTAATTCTTAAACTACAATTAATTGAGAATGTTTCAATGAAGTAGCCTACACAAAATCACAAAATACTATGATCTCTTGTGCAACAGTGATTAAATAATTTTATTGAAACGACAGGTAAGCAATGTTGATAAAATGAAGCACAAATTAAAGCACCTTTCGAAATTTTTTCTTTTTTTAATTTACAGGACATACATAAGGAAACAACGTATAAAGGAAGTCATAGACAACATTAAAATAGAAAGGCAAAGAAGAAAAACAGCCGCCTGGCAACTACTAGTTCGCTGCTCCAAGAAATGGACCAAACTTCTACTTCAATCGTTTATTGTTAAATAAAAGTTCTTTTTTAAATTAATATTATAATAAATTCTAACATTTTAAAAAGATATTGTCATGAACACAATTTTGATAATCGTCCTTGATTTTACATCCTGTAATTTATTGCTCGGCTATTCGAAGATCAATAAGGAGAGCTTTCACCTCATCCGGGCGTCGGCGTTAGTTTAATGTTCTGTCCAATTTTTCATACCACATCAATTATGTTCCAAGTCCCTTAAGATATCGCTTTGAAATTTTGCAGACTTGTTAACCACCATGACCCAAACCCCTAGACATGGGTAGATAACTCTGTCAAGCATTTTGTTAAAATTGACTGCCTTGTCGACTAAGATGGTTTTCATTTAGAATAGTCGAGTGTGCTGCCCATGACGCTCTTATTGTAGTTTTTAATTCGCGTGAGCTTAAGTAGAAGCTTTGCTGAGAATGATATTGTTGTCATCTAGAGGAAAATATAACAAAAAGAACCACCTTCCGTGTGCTGGTGTCTCGTATCCAAAGCTGTGCCATGTCAGTCTTAAATTTGCTAGAGTAAAATAGGACTGGTGAAATAAGAACAAAAAATAATTATAGTTTTGGTGCATGACCTTGCCCTACATGGGCGCTTTATACTAGGGCTAGAAAAGTCTAGTTGTTTATTACATTTTGAGGGTTTATTGCGAAACGGTTGTAATTTAAACTAGATAAAGAAGGAGATACAACTGTTTTGCACCAAGCCCTCGAATTATATTTTTAGTTGCATTTTATGATACACGTACAGCTTCATGGAGGTTGAATATCTGTTCCTTTGCAAATCCCCAAACCATATATTAATTCCATGCATTTGAAATAGAGGTCAATACGTAAAAAGTCAAGACCTTAAGTGTTTGAAGTCACTACTCACAAGTAGGAAGTCAAAAGTCACAAGTAGGAAGTCACAAGTAGGAAGTCAAAGTCACAAATAGGAAGTCTCTAGTCAGAAATACGAAGTCACAAGTCAGACCATTGTGCACGAAGTGTCATTGCAATATCGTTTAAAACGTCCTTAGCTTTACAAATGCGTCATCCTGGAAATTCTTGAAGCTGACCTTACTACCTATAACTACCTATTCGCCCTAATAAGAGCCACGCCCATCCCTTCTTTTCCATTTGTAAGTGAAGCGCCCAGGATAAATTGTCTTAAAAGAAAAAAAATCAACTGACCACAATCGACATTTTAAATTTTTAATGCATGTCCGCGGGCCTAGAAAATGTCACTGTACAAGGAAAGACTGTGAATATTCACATTTCAAACCCATTGTAGTGATTTGTCAGTAAACGGGACCAATCTAAATACGAGATATCAACAGAATTTGCATAGCTGTGACTCTTACATATTGTATACTTTTGTAAGACCTGACTCCTAATAAGCGCCCACCTTTCACAATTTTCTAAGCGCCCTGGACGATAACTAGGAATACTAGGGCGTTTGGTCTACAAAGATGAACGTGATGCAGTGAATTTATTTTAATAGCCAGATTCTAATTAACTGAAAGTTAAGTATATAGGCCCTAGTAAGTCTGCACACCTGCACAGACTAAATCGGTCTACACTTGTCACAGGTTTTTCTTGACTGAAACGTTAACGGTTACAAACAGACCTTTGTGAGCCATGATGTTTTTGAACGTAGAAATAACATTGACTTTCGTGACATATTCGTTTGTTATAATTGACTGTCAAACATAAGAATAACCATATGCAACTTACGTTATGAACTATAAAATATATTTTACTATAATTTACAACATCATCACGATCATCATCCTTAATATAGTTATAATCATCGTCATGATTATTATCATTATCATCGAAATCAATTTCTGCTTATCATCAACAGCATAATTATTTAAATTATAAAGTCGACCTTCATCATGAGGAGCAGCATCATGACAATCATCATTGCAGTCAACATACTTATAATGATAATCATGATGATGTAGATGATGATGATAATGATGGATCGTGTTGATCATTTGTTCTCTAACAAAACAACTTTATGGCTTTAAAAGACTTCAGTCTTCATACGAGTTTGCCACTAAATCATTCAACTCCAGGAACAAATTCAATGCTGAATCGGCATCTACTGGCATTTGGAGGTCGGGCTTTAACAGATAAGTCAATTCGCTGAATTCGTCCAACTTTCTCTTTGGAACTGAATACATGTCTTTACAACAGGTCACATCACGTTTGTCAACCACCGTACCATAATCAAGCGCGCCAAACGTTTCAGGTAAAAAATACATAATGTCCGGTTTTCCGTAATGTGCCTCGGAATTGTGCTGAGATCTAATTTCATGTACATTCCACTGTTGAGCAATTCTATCCAGGTGTGTTTGTATTAGGTTCATGAAACTAAATTTTAAATTTCAATGCGCTGCTTAGAAGTGCTTCTTCAAACAATCTTCTTCCAACAATAACGCTGCGACTACCAGTAAAGTGGTCGGTTGCTTCATTCCGAAAGAACTGCTGTAGAAGACAAACAACACTGTTTTCTGTTCCAGCATCGCAACGAAGTATGCTAGGTGTTTTTTCAATGCGCTTCAATGCATCCAAATAATATATCGCAATCAGTTTTGGATCGGTGTTAATGTCAGAAACTTCAAACCAGATAACTTTCCTGCTAAAACCATCTACCGCTCCTTGTATACAAAATCCGAATGGTTTCAACTTATCATAACCATCTAAATGCCAAAAATTGTTTGGCCCTTTTGCACAATAGAAACGTCTTTTAAGTCGATGTGCTTTTCTCATTTCAACTCTATTTTGGATCTATTGCCTTCATTATGTCCATAACATCTTTATGGCTTACATCCATATTATGATTCACTTTCAGCCGGCGCCATATCGTCCGATAACCGACAGACTGTCCACTATAATGCATTTCCGTGTCAATTACACGAACAACGATTTTTAGCTGCGATTGCAAATGTACACCTCGACGTTTCAGGTTCAACTTCTTCAAGATTCTTTTCAGCTGACGCAGTGACAACAAAATACCATGCTTAAGTAGCAAAAATCCAAGAATTTCACTGTTTAAAACCTTGTTTGAAATATTCTTCAATGAGTGATGCTTTACCAACATTCGGAGACGACAAAGGCACCACACCAGCTGTTATCTTCAACAGAGTTCACAGAAAACAACACGCAAACACGAATTTCATATTTTGGCACAACACAGCCATCTTCGCTCATTACTCACGTGCTCTCTTAAAGTGTGGATTAATTAATTAATTTCACAACTAAGAAGTAATAAGTCTTGAGTTAAAAGTCAAAACTTCCAAGTCAAAAGTCATAACTCCCAAGTCAAAAGTCATTAAGTCAGAAGTCAAAAGGGCCCTCCAGTGCTTCCATAGTTAACAGAATAAAATTGTTTCGGCATCTAATTTCAGTTGGGATTTTACCTTTTAGAACTAGAATAAAATTGTTTCGGCATCTAATTTCAGTTGGGATTTTACCTTTTAGAACTAGAATAAAATTGTTTCGGCATCTATTTTCAGTAGGGATTTTACCTTTTAGAACTGATTTCGTAAATGCGCTATTTGCTCTTAAGGGCGAAACTCGAACAAGTTTCTTTCATTAAGGTATTTTGAAATCATACCTTTGTTAAAAAAACACTACAGATATATTGCTGCATGCACTTTAACCTCATTCTGATTTACTATTGGCACTTTAACATCGAATTATATGTGTATGTCACATTTGATTTAAAGATATAAGTGTATTCATTCTTATATTATACAATTATTTTAATCATCAACGGAAGCTTTATTTTCATACTTAAATGATTTATGTTAATTATTAAATATATAAATTTTAGCGTGAACTTGTCAGTGTTAGGTTAAACTTGACTTACGTTCGACAGATTAAATTCCATATGTCGTAAAATAGAAGCTCTATAGTGGGCGGGGATCGAATTGTTTATTCAAGGCTATCAGTAAATATAAAAATGAATTATAACATATTTCTGCCCAGCTTTGACAATGTTTGCAATTTTATTAATCCCAAACCCGGTATATCATTAATCAGTTTTGTAAATTTATCTTTTATTATAATGACTGCTTCGGAATCCTTTTGTCCTCAAAGTTCATTTA